CAGGAAGGATGCTAAAATTTCACAATTTTATGAGTTCCTCATGTGTGCCAAGTCCCCTGTAGGGATTCGACATGTGCTTTAATACTTACCGTCACCTTAGGAGGTAAGTATCATTTTATAGGTAAGAATAATGAGGCTCAGCCCTAGCCCATTTGGCTTAGTGGATAGAGCGTCAGCCTGCAGCCTGGCCCTGATGAGTGTGCCTGCGGGAGGCAACCAATCAATGTGTCTCTACCAGCTCTCTGTCTCTCCCCCTCCCTTCCACTCTCTCTAAAAATCAATGGAAAAATATCCTCGGGTGAGGATTAACAAAACAAATAAATAAAGGAATCTTATTTTTTTAAAAAAAGAAGAATAGTGAGGCTCAGAGGGGTAAGTGGGAGAACTGGAATGTTCGAGCTGAGTTTTCTGACTCCAAGGCTTTCCCCTGCACCACCTTGCCTCTGGGAGGACAGGGGGACAAGGGAAAAGGTGCTCCGAATAAAAGAACTACTTAAAGCAATAAGATGGCAGCCATTTGGGGGTGGAAGGCAGAGATAAAATAAGTCGGATAACTTGGGGTCAAAGAAAGAATGTCTTGTAGACATTCTGAAAAAGACTTTTAAATCCATACCCTAAATTTTTATGTAAGACACTTTGCTTATTAGCTCAGGCTTGAAGGGCACCATAAAGCTGAGGCCTGAGTAGTTATCCCTTTCTCCCTCACTCCTTTCCTCATTTAGAGATGCTGAGATGCCCTTGGCCTTTAAAGCTTATACTTCAGACAATGAATCTGCCCCAGACCCAGGGGCATTCTGGGAGTAAAGCTGCAAGTTTATGGCAGGATGCACAGCAAACCTACCCAACGAGAAATCTGCTCAAATGAAATCCCGGCTGCTGTTAGCGGCCTGGCAGTGTGCTGAGGACCCAGCTGAGGGTCCTGTCCCCATGTAGCCATTTGCTCAGTGCCTGGTATGGGTCCGCCTCTCACTGCCAGCAGGTAATGTTGGTGTGCTTGGTGCCTCCCCTGCCCTGCCTCAGGCACCTTACGTTATTTATCTCCCTGTGCCCCCTACCAGCCCTGTTGGTGTTTCGCCTACACCTTGATCTAATGAATACAAAGCATGTGTGACTGCCTAGTCCAGTTCCCCTCCGATCCCACACCTCTCTCCTCAACTTTTACAAGGGCTGCATTTCTGTCATCTCTCCTCTTCCTTCCCATCTGGCTCCTTCTACCATATCCTTCTTGCTCTGTTGATCTCACCTCCCACCTTCCATTAGTATTTTATTTTTATATCTTTCCTCTCATTTCTCTTTGACTGGGTTCAATTCAATGACCATTTGCTGTGTATGCATTCTGGGCTGTGTGTGATGGATTACACCCTATAGTGTCTGAAGTTTAGTTGGGGGAATAGGAATAACTATGAAACTCTTATTGATGTCAGGAAATAATTAGTATTGGGAATCAGTTAGAAAAATGGTGTGAACTAGAATCTAAATAGGTGAGGAAGGCTTTTGTCTCCTTATAACCTTCTAAACTCCAGAAACTTGGATTAACCTTTGCTAATTTATCACTTACTAAAGGATAAAGGTCAATTGGATGTGAATAATATGAGAAAAAGAAATCTTTTTTAAATATTCAGGGTTGTTACAGCCTAGGCCGGGTGGCTTAATTGGTTAGAGTCTCATCCCAATATGCTAAAGTTGCAGTTTGATCCCCGGGCAGGTCACCTACAAAAATCAGCCAATGAATCATGTGTAAGTGGAACAACACATTGATGTTTCTCTTCCTAAAAATTAATAAATAAAAAACTAAAAAGTATCTTTAAAAAGTAATGAATAGTAAAAATTTCAGAGTGTGAAAAAAATTTAACAGGAAAGAAAACATACTTCTACACTAGAGGCCTAGTGCACAAAATTTGTGCAGGGGGGGTCCCTCAGCCCAGCCTTCACCTTCTCCAATCTGAGACCCCTCGGGGGATGTCTGACTGCTGGTTTAGGCCCGATCCTTGAGATCCTCTCACAATCCGGGCCTGCTGGCTCCCAAACGCTTGCCTGCCTGCCTGCCGGATTGCCCCTAACTGCTTCTGCCTGCCAGTCTGGTCACACCCAACTGCCCTCCCCTGCCAGCCTGGTTGCCCCCAACTACCCTCCCCTGCCGGCCATCTTGGGCCCACATGATGTGACGGTGTGAGGGTCAATTAGCATATTCTTTCTTTATTAGATAGGACTCTTAGTCCTTCTCAGTAGAGATAACTATGAATGATTCTGGTATATTCTTGCAGAAATTTTTCATAATTGTACAAAAGCAAATATGTAATAGGTATTTTCACACAAATGGAAACAATTATATATATATTTGCAAAATGAATTGTTCTTACCTGGCTATCATTCTGCAGTACATATAAATCCATGCAAATGGATCTACACCTAGGCTTTTAATGTCAACTTCTATTGATACAATATTTTATTTAACTAGTCCCCCATTGACAAATATTTAGGTTATTACTGTTTTTAATAAAGAGAAAGTTTTGGAAATAATGTTGCAACAAATATATTTCTCACATTTTTTAGTACAACTGCAGAAAAAAATCTCCAGTCAAAGAATAAATAAGTATTTAAAACTTGTGTAAATGTTTATTTGGTAGGTTTGGCAAATTGCCCTCAAAATGTTGCAGTAATTCACACTGCTTCTAATAATGCATGAATGTTTCCCACCCCCTCACAAATACTTTTGTCTTCAGCAATCTGATAGGTAAAATGGCATCTTTTGTTGTTTTATTTTGCATTTTTAAGATTGTAAGTGAGGTTAAACATATATTTCTTATTCTGTTTGCCTTTCTATTTCTGTGAACTACTTGCTTTTATCATTTGCCCTTTAAAAAACGTTTTTAAACATTGATTTGAAGTGCTCTAGATATTTCATATAAGGAAATTACCTCTTTATCATGCAAGGTAGAGTTAGGATCATGCTATGATTCATAATTACATGATAAGCAGTTTTGTGTGTATTCCAAACTTTTTAAAATTCTGTTTTTATTGTGATAAGATATTTATAAGATATTTGCCATTTTTTTTAATGCTCACCCAATGAATATGTTTATTGATTTTAGAGGAGAGAGGACGGGGGGAGAGGGAAGAGAGAGAGAGAGAGAAGAACATGAATTGCCTCCCATACACCTGGGACTTGGGATTGGACTCACATCTTATTTTGGTGTGTGGGACAATACTCCAACCAACTGTCACCAAGCAGGAGCCATGTTAACTAATTTCAAGTGTACAATTCAGTGGCATTAATTACATTTATAATACTGTTCGATAATTACCATTATTTATTTCCTCCAATTTTCATTACCTCAAATAGAAATCTTTTTTTTTTTTTTCAAACAGAAATCTTTACCCATTCAACCATAATCCCTCACTTCCATCTTTCTCCAGCCCTGGGTAACCTCTATCTGCTTTCCATCTCTAAGAATTTGCCTATTCTAGATATTTCATATAAGTGAAATTACAAAATATTTCTCCTTTTGTATCTGGTTTATTTCATTTAGCATAATAATTTCAAGGTTTATCTGTGTTGTAGCAAGTATCAGAACTTCGTTCCTTTTTATGACTGGATAGTATATTACATTTTAAAAAGCTATTTGTCTATTGATAGAAATGAATTGTTTCCACTTTTAGGCTCTTGTAAACAAGTCTGTAATGGTCATTGGCAATACAAGCGCCTGCTTTCAATTCCTTTGACTATATACCTAGGATTGGAATTACTGGGTCTTCTGGTAATTCTATGTTTAGCTTTTTGAAGAATTACCAAACTCTTTATTAGCTCTAAGACTATTTTTGTGGATTCTTTAAGATATTCTTTATATGTAACATCATGCCTTTTTTTGAATTATTTTACTTCTTTCTTTCCAATTTGAATGCCTTTTATTTCCTTTTTTATTTAGCCTAGCTGGTGTTGCTCAGTGGTTGAGCATTGACCTTTGAACTAGGAGATCACCATTCCCAGTCAGAGCACATGCCGAGTGTCCAGCTCTCACTGGTCGGCTGCCTCCTGCATGCCCCCTCCTGGGGAAGGAATCCGTCCTCCTGCCGGGGCTCTATCACTGAGCCAAACCGCCAGGGCACACTTTTTCTTTAGTTCCTCTGGGTTCGGGGTCATGCATAAATAGTCTTTACTGTAAAACTATAATTTCTTTTTTCTAGAAGTTCTGTCGATTCATTTTTATGTTTAAATCTCTGAACTATGAGGAATTTATTTTGGCTTAAGGAATGTGGGAGTGATCCAGCTTTATTTTCTTCCAAATGGCTACTTTTCCCAATATCATTCACTAAATAATCCATCACCTGGGTAATACTTATTTTAAAAAATATACAGCTCAAGTTGAAAAAGGGTAAAACTTTTTACTCCTAGAAATGTTATACAAGGAAAGACCCAGACTCCAAAGAGCGTCTCCTGACACAGGGTGAAGTCTGCGCATTCAAAACCGAATCAGAGCCAGAAGAGGGAGCTACTGCTGGGCAAAGCCTGTGAGACGGGCCACTTATTTGGTTTCTTTACTCTTGCCCATTGGTGCTATCTGTGAATATGTCATAGGGATTAGAATCTTTATTCTCTTCGTGCCCCCTTTACCGGTTTTAAGCTAAAAATAGGAACTCTAAAATCCTACTACTTGTTCTAATTATGCATGGAGCTATGCCTGCAAACAAAAACTAAGAATGAAAAGAGTAAACGTTTTAAAAAGAAGCAAGGGGCGGCCGAAAATATTTAAATTCTTGCACTTGTAACGCATCCTTTAATGCCCTAGTCTGGCCAATAGCGGACCTGAGCAGACGGGGGAATCCCGAGGAACCAAGGTCACGCGGCAGCTGCGGCCCACGGGTCTGGTTTTCGGGGCGGGACACGCCCCTCCCCCTGCCTCGACCAATCGGAAGTGAGGAGGCGGGGCCATGGGAGACCCGAGGCGGGGCAGACGCCAGGGCGGGTGTGTCTGGAGTGGGGGCGGGCAGATCCCTGAAGGTGGCAATTTCCCGGGCCCACGGCGCCGGTGAACAGGTGGAGAGGCCGGGCTGGCCCGGGCTGCGGCCTCAAGCGTCGGGAAATGGCTGCGGGGGGCAGGCTGGAAGATGTGAGTGCACGCAAGTGGCGGGCGGCTGGCCCCGGAATCCCCTTCTTCCTGTACTGGGCGCGCTGGGCGGAGACTGCGTGGGGAAGCCACCCTCACCCCCGGCGTCCGCGGCGGGAGGCGGTGCTTCCTGCGCGGGGCAGGCCTGGGGCGCGGGGTTGTCAGAGGAGGCATCTAGGTGGGGTGGGGTCGGCGACAGGCCGGCTGCGGCCTTGTTTTCCCGGTCTCCGCCGGGTGGTGGCTGCGCGCGTGCCGGGTCCCAGGCGGGTGCCCAGCCCACGTGCTGGCGCATCTGTGATCCCGGAACTGAGCGCCTGGCCTGACCGCCCTGGCTCCTTGCGCGTCTGGGCGCCCGGCCGCTGGGCTCCGCTCTCTCCTGCGGGGCGCACGGGGCGAATCTCCGCTCCCTGCGGGTCCCCTGCCTTGGCTCTGAAGGGCTGTGGACCTGGCGAGGCTGCAAAGGGCAGGCGAGCAGCCAGCGTCCCGCGGGCAGACCTGTGGCCATCATCACCAGGAAACCGACTTTGGAGAAAAACAATGGGCTGTTTTGAATTTAGGCAGGCTTGGTAGGAATGATAGGACTTTTGAGTATCCTTTCTTAGCTAGATCCAAACCAGATTACTAAAAACAAAACAAAACAATGCCCTATTTTACAGTGTACTGTGTGATAGCATAATTGCAAAAAATATTTTCTTAAGTATATTAAAACATTTTTAGGGGAAACATTTATGCCCAGAATTAACTGAGTTACCCTATGGGCACAAAATAAAATTATTGACCTTCAAAAATGCAAAGTTGACAGTTACATTAAAGCATTCATTTGGATTAACAAATTAATAGAAATATTACTGCAGTCCTATCACTGAATGAGGTCCATCAGGCAAGACATATGAAACACAGTTCCAGCCGTACAAGAGGTAAGATTCTTCGGTAAATAGCGACCATAGTTGTATTATCTTGACTAAATAATGACCAAACAGTTTCTAATAAGACTAAAAATTCCTCCTTTTCCCCTAGCGGAGATCATGGAACACTAACTATAAAACCTGCAAGTAGATTTGAGACTCATATATTTAAAGAAAAATTGATTTTCTTCTAAATTTTTAAGGGTGGGATGCATGAACTGACAATGTATGGAAATGAAATGAATATCTAAGTAAAATGAGAGACTTAGAAAAATGCAGTAAATGCTTCTTGGCTGATGCTAAGCTACCCCAGGGTTCTTGGATCTGTGTAGCTTTTAGTTTTAGAATGAGTACAATCCCAGAAATCTGTTTCACCAACAATTACATAGCTAGATCACTTTCAGTCTGAGCAAGTTGCCTGCTTTGGTATTTTTGTGGATATGAATTCTACTATTCAGTAAAAAGCTAAAAGTTATCTGCCATATATAGGCCCAGACACTTCAATGACTTAAAAGAGTCATTGTTAAGATTAATTGATTGCAGGCAGTGAAACCAACTCTGGCTAACTTAAGGAAAATTGGGATTTCTCTGAAATAGGGTAGATGAACACCCAGGCCTCTGGAAGGACCCCTATTGGTGTGGGCAAAAACAAGAGATATCTTCTACAGGTAGGAATGTAGTTATCAATAGTGAAAATGAAGAAATTATTTGTATTCAGGAGGCATCTTCCCTCTACCTTTCACTTGCAGATGTGAATTAGAGAATGATGGGGTGCTATTTGTATGGATTTACTATATTTTCTGTCGGAATCATTGGACAGTGTCATTTGACATAGACCTTATGTATTTATTGAACATTAAATGGAAGACAAAGAGAAGAAACTGTACTGTAGGCCCCAACCCCCTTCAATGTAGTCAGGGAACATAATACAAGGCAGCATAAGAAATATTCCAACTAAATATTAAGGGTACTATGTTTCATAGGAGTTTTAAAGTAGAAAGAAAACACCTGTCTCGACAAGTTTTATAGAGAACATGAGTTTTGTTGGGTTTGGATCTTGAAAGATGAGTTGGATTCTGAAAAGATAAAAGAGTATATTTGTGGGCATTCCATAAAGCCCATTCAGGCTAGAGGAGAAGGAGCATGAAACGGAAGATAAAAAAAAGTACAATAGTTCCTCAACTAACATTGATGAGATGTCTTAGGAATTTAACTCTGGTTGATTATCAATTAGCCTATGGTAAAATTGGTTTCATTATACTTCGTTTTACTTAAAGTTACAAAACCTATCGACGATGTTAGGTGAGGTCTTACTGTAGATTCTTGTTTTACAGTTAAGGTCTCAATGCTGGCTTTAGTTTAAGCTCCCAGGCCCCATCTGTTCAAGAAGTTGGGCTATAGTTTATCCATTACACACACACATTAAGCCCCTGCTATATATACGGTGCTAAAGTTACAAAGAACATAATACAATACAGAGTTCTGCCCTTATGAAGCACACCTATTCCAACAACTTTGATGTCTTGTGCTTAGTATCATCTATATATATAAAAAGCCAGTGACTGGAATGCCATAATGACCAGAACGACTGGTCATTATGACACCCACTGCTGCCAGCGAACCACCTGATCAGGGAGTGGGGCCGGCCGGCCAACCTCCTGCAGCCCTGACCTACCCGATTGGCCCGCGGTCGCTCCCCCCAGCCAGCTCCGCCTCCCCCACCCCAACAGGGGGCAGAGCCCACTGGCCAATCGTCCTCAGCCCCTCCCCCCAGCTGGCCTAGCCCTGATAGACCAACCTCCCACTGTCTCCTCCTCCTGACAGGCCTGGCCCCGATCCGCCCTGATTGGGGCCGGGCCAGCCGGACCCCCACCTGTGCACGAATTCGTGCACTGGGCCTCTAGTAAGCTATAAAAGAGCCATTGAAACTGATCCAGAAATGACATTCTCATGCTAGAAATAACAGACATTAAAAATTATAACTGTTTTTATGTGTTGCAAAGGTTTTAAAGACACATGGAAGATACAAAATAGATCCTAGTCAAACTTGTAGAGATGGAAACTATAATGTCAGGTGAAAAGGGCAGTAGGAACAGTGTTAGGCATTAGAGAAGACAGCATTTTTGCTGGGACAGGTATTTGAAAGGTGAGGAAGACTACTTGGAGGCACAGCAGTTGGCATCAAGAGGGAGGGAGAAAGGTGGTGAGAGGCAAATCCTGGAAAGTAACTTGGGAATGGATTGTAAAGCACATAGCCAGACTAAGTGTTTGGACTTTGTCATGCGGATAATGGGGAGGTACCCAAGGTTTGGGAGAGAGAAATGTGAATGTTTGTTTTGGAAGAACTCTGACTGCAGTGAGAGAATTGCTAAGGTCTACAGATTGGAAGGTATTAGCATAGGCCATGAAAAATGATGAGAGCCTTGACTGAGATAGTGAGAATAGAAAGGAAAGAACAGATTTGGGAGTTAAAATGGTAATGAATATTGTATTATATGGCAATGCATGTTATACAGTATAAAGACTACTATATGGTAATGAATATTACATGGTAATGAATATTATCAATGGAAAAGCAAGAATTAGAGGTAATAGTAGCTAATGTTTATTGATTGCTTACTCTGTACCTTGCAGTGTTCTAAGGACTTTTATGTGTAGTTACTTATTTAATCTTCCCAACAAAGCTTTGAAGCAGGTGCTATAACTATTCTCCTTTTAACGATGAGGGAACTGAGGCACAGAGGGATGAAGTAGCTTGTCCATAGCTAGGAAGCAGTAGAACTTACATTTGAACCCAGGCAGTTTGTCTTAGGAGTCTGCCCTTCACCACAGCACTTACTGCTGGTTGTCCCTACAGCTCCCGATAATCTCTCCTGATTATGATGATACCATCACTGAGTGAGGGAACACTGCAAGGACAGGTTTGGAACATTCGTTCATTCATCACTTGTTCGCTGAGTGCCGACCATGGGTACTGGCATTACAAAGACATAGGAAGTGGGGAGACAGTAGGTCTCATAAAGTCTACTGGGGAAGACATAAGTAAGAGACCATCACAGGATAGTATGCGGGAGGAGGTCAGCACCAAAAGCTTGGGAAGACTGGGCGGGATGGCATGATCCAGATGCTTGGCTGCCCAGGAAGGCTACCCATGGGAATTGCCCCTCCTGAGCCTGGAAGGCTGCATGGACATTAGCTAAGGAAAGAGCTGTGGAAACTGGAACATCTGCTGATTGAGAAAGAGCCAGAGGCAAAGGAGTCTTGAAGAGAACAGAAGTAATCAGAATTGCACCATGAGTTTTTGGCAAACTAAACAGGAAACTGTCTAGGCATTGAATGTTAAAAATTGCAGACCAGTGGCCTGGCTGGGTGGCCCAGTTGGTTGGAGTGTGATCTCATACACCAAAAGGTTGTGGGTTCAATTCTCAGCCAGGGCACATGCTGAGATTGTGGGTTTGATTCCCAGTGGTCCTGGCAAGTTTGGGAGGCAACCATTTGTTTCTTACATTGATGTTTTTCTCTCTCCCTTTCCCTCTCTCTCTAAAATCAGTGGAACCATATCCTTGGGTGAGGATTTTAAAAACTGTGGAGCAGCATTGAATGCCTGAGGTTGGAAATCAAAGCCCCACATTACTGAATTATCTATATAATTAATCCTAGTGACCAACATACCACCCTCTACCCCTTCCAAAGTAGAAAGCCCTTATCTTCTGTCTCCTAATCCTAGTCTCCGGCTTCCCTTTTGCAAATTAAGGCATCATTTCCCTTTCATTCTAGGATACCTAGGTAACCTAAATTTGGTGCATTATCTGTGCTATTCATTTGCTAATTTATTACTCCCCTATAGTATCCTGTGCACTATATTCTATTGTATGTTGTTTAGTCCTGCATGCCTTTACCCCTGGCCTCCCCAATGAAAATGTAATCTCCTTTTGATGGTGTCTTAAGTTTATATAACAGTTTTCCCTAAGAATCTTTTTTTAAAATAAATTTTTATTGATTTCAGAGAAGAAAGGAGAGGGAGAGATGGAAACATCAATAATGAGAAAGAATAAGCGATCAGCTGCCTCCTACATGCCCCCCACTGGGGATTGAGCCTGCAACCCAGGCATGTATCCAGATGGGGAATTGAACTGTGACCTACTGGTTCATAGATCGATGCTCAACCACTGAACCACACTGGCTAAGAATCTGACATTGAGAGATTATTGTATGCACCAGGGACTGGACAGTATACTGTTCTGTCAAGACAATACTGTTAAACATGATTAAGTAGATTTTGAAGTAGCAGCTGAACTTTTCCCAACTACTTCAGTGACATTGCAAGTGGTTGTTCTCATTGAGAATCTGACATCTACAAACTAAAGTCTCCTTGGAAGGTCTGTCAGGGTGCTCTGTTTCTATTAGTGCTCTAAAATATTTCTATCATAACTGAAAGTTTGTTTTAAGGCCTCTGAATAAAGCCTTCACCAGTTTTCCAGAATTTTATGGAGCACAGAGACATAGTTGAAGAATTGCAACCATATGTAATTATTTCATCAATAATACCAATAATGTTAAGTAAATCAATATCTAAGTATTGAGGGCTTGAAGAAAATTATTTGCTTTAGTCTCATTATGTATTACCTTGTTTGAAGATGAATGAATTAAGATGTCCTCTACCTGTTTTAATGATTGTTGTTTTCACCAATTTGTATGCAGAAGTTATCTAGAGGCTTATGTATATTTTCAAAATTGGCTTTAGGTAGGGAGTATTATTTTTGCCTCTAACTTGTATACTGCTTTTTAAAGCTTTATAAATTCAGTAAATTTGTCTTAGAAACATAATCCAGGAAGTGGTAATTATAGCTTGCTTCCTTTTTCCTGCACCCCAGGGTTCCTTGGATCCATCCCAAAGTGTTGAAGATGACCCCCTTCTGGACACCCAGCATCTTTCACATTATTCCTTACATGCTCATTTTAGACCCAGATTCCATCCTCTTCCTACGGTCATTATAGCAAATCTTCTCCTGTTAATACATGTAAGTTTGCTGCGAGAAAGTGATCCATCTAGAGGTGATGTTCTTTTTTTTTTAAATTTATCTTTATTGTTGAAAGTATTACAGATGTCTCCTTATTTCTCCCATGCCTTCACTGCACTATTGTCTGTGTCCATTGGTTTATATATATATGCATATAAGTTCTTTGGTTAGTCTCTTCCTACCCCTCCCCCCAAAACCCCTGAAATTTTTCATTCTGTTGCATGCTTCAGTGTCTCTGGATCTATTTTGTCAGCTTCTTTTATGCATTAGATTTCATAAGTGAGATCATGTGATACTTATCTTTCTCTAACTGGTTTATTTTGCTTAGCATAATATTCTCCAGGTCCCTCCATGCTGTCTCAAAGGGTAAAAGATCCTTTTTTTAAAGATCTGAAACAGCCCAAGTGCCCATCAGTAGATTAGTGGATTAAAAAGATGTGGTACAGCCCTAGTTGGTTTGGCTCTATAATAGATAATAGTGTCAGCCTGCAGACTGAAGGGTCCTAGGTTTGATTGCAGTCAAGAGCACATGCCCAGGTTGCAGGCTTGATCCCCAATGGGGGACGTTCAGGAGGCAGCAGATCAGTGATTCTCTCTCATCATCAATGTTTCTATCTCTCTCTCCCTCTCCCTTCCTCTCTGAAATCAATAAAAATATATTTAAAAAAAAAAAAGATGTGGTACATTTACACAATGGAATACTATGCAGCTATAAAAAGGAAGGATGTCTTTGAGACAGCATAGAGGTGACGTTCTTAAAAAATACATAAGCTCATCCGATGTTTCTCAGTGATTGAGCTTCAACCCATGAACCAGGAGATCAGGGTTTGATTCCTGGTCAGGGCACATGCCTGGGTTCTAGGCTGGATCCCCAGTGGAGGGTGTGCAGGAGGCAGCCAATCGATGATTCTCTCTCATTATTGATGTTTCTCTCCCTCTTCCTTCCTCTCTCTGAAATCAATAAAAAATATATTAAATTGGTTATATTTATTAACATTTAAAATGTGCATACTAGCCCTAGTTGGTTCAGCTCAGTGGATAGAGCGTTGGCCTGCGGACTGAAGGGTCCTGTGTTCAATTCAGGTCAAGGGCACATGCCTGGGTTGCAGGCTCGATCCCAGTAGGGGGCGTGCAGGAGGCGGCAGATCAATGATTCTCATCATTGATGTTTCTATCTCTCTCTCCCTCTCCCTTCCTCTCTGAAATCAATAAAAATATATTTAAAACAAAAATAAAATAAATAAAATGTGCATACTTTTTCAGTCATATCTCTACTTCAAAGAATTTATTGTGGGCATGTTTCCAGTATTATCCAGTTTCTTTAAGAGATTTAATACTGTAGTTATTACTCTGTGGCAGAGTTTCCCAAACTTCAGGGTGGATCAGACTTCCTGGCAGGCTTGTTGAATGGCCCCCAGATATTTTGAGTCAGTGGGTAAGAGGTGGGGCCTGAGAATTTGCATTAATAAACGGCCCCTGGTGATCCTGATGCCACTGGCCTGGAAACCACACTTGGAACTACTGCTCTGCAGCTTACTTCTTTCAGTCTGACATATAGACATCCATCCAAACTGATGCATAGGGATTCCGTTAATTCTTTCATGGCTGAGTAATATTCTACTACATGGGTGGGTGTACCTTGATCTATTCAAGAATTCTATTGTGGATGGACACATAATCAATTTTCAAGTTTTGCAGATTTGGAGAATATTGCAGTGAATATTCATATCCATGTATGCTAGGTACTGGTGCTTGTCCTCCTGAGGGATAGAGTCCTTGACGTAGGATTTCTGGGTCAAGATATTTCCAAGTGATTTTTCAATAGCAATTCTGACCAGCCAGCAATATATGAGAATGTCTGTTTGCTTGTATTTTGGCACCAATCTTTTACCTTTTTGTCATCTAATTGTATAGTTTTTATTGTTCTCTTAACACTGAAACTGGAAACAAATTTATTTTATTGTATTTTTCCCCCCCTCCTACTCCCTGGAAATTGTGAATGTGTTACCTGAATGGATAAGGGGCTTCTGTGAATGTGCTTAAGTCAGGATGTGAGATGGGGAGATTATTCTGGTTTGTACAGTGGGCCCAATGTAATCATGAATCCTTAAGAGAGGGAGACAGGAGGGTCAGAGTCAGAAAAAGAGAAGTGACCATGGAAATAGAAGTCAGAAAAGAGAGATTTGAAGATGTCACCCTGCTGGCTCTGAAGATGGAGGAAGAAGACATGAGTGACAGAATGCAGGGGTCCCTAGAAGCTGAGAGAGACATGGACACGGGTCTCCTCTAAAGTCTCCAGATGAGCAGACTCATGCATTTTAGGCAAATAAGACCCATAGAAATAAACTTTTTAAAATCATGATTTTTCTTTTACCTTTAAGGCACTCAATTAACTGGTTTTTTTTTACTCTTTTCAGTAAAAGAGAAGTGGGCAGGAAACTGTCTTTAACATTAAGTGTCCATTTCTGTTAAGATCAGATTTAAAGTGATTTTTTTTTCTTATTTGCGATTTTGTTTTCTAAGTTATCTCCAAGTTTTTCTTCAAATTTAGTTTTAAAAGTTTGTAAAGCCCTAGCTGGTTTGGCTCAATGGATAAAGCGTAGGCCTGTGGGCCCAGTTGGCCTGGCTCAGTGGTTGAGCATCTACCTATGAACCAGGAGGTCACGGTTCAATTCTTGGTCAGGGCACATGCCTGGGTTGCAGGCTTGGTTCCCAATGTGGGACATGCAGGAGGCAGCCGATCAATGATTCTCTCTCATCATTGATGTCTCTCCCTCTCTGAAATCAATAAAGATATATATTTTTTTAAAAAGCGTAGGCCTGAGGGACTGAAGGGTCCTCTGTTTGATTCTGTCAGGTGCACATGCCTGGGTTTCGGGCTTGATCCCCAGTGGCAGCGTGCAGTAGGCAGCTGATCGATGATTCTCTCTCATTCTTGATGTTTCTATCTCTCCCTCTCCCTTCCTTTTTGAAATCAATAAAAAAATATTTTTTTTAAAGTTTGTAAAAATACAGTGTTTTTTTAAACTTATTTATAAAAATTGGATATCAGAAATCATAAGCTTAGAGGCGGTGAAGGGTTTGAGCAAAAAAGGAAAAAAAGGAGAGAGAAATCCTGGACATGGACAACAGTGCAGTAATTGCAGCGGTGGAGGAGCAGAGAGGGGCTAAAAGGTGATGGAAAATCAAATTAAATGAAACTTAAAAACAAAAAAGTTATAAGCATAAAGAGTATGTGGTGGGATGGTGATAATGTTTCTGAAATATTGAATATTAAGCCTATTGTTTTCCTTTCCACCAGGTTGTGTTTGTTATTTTAGCATTTGTAACAGGTGTGCTTTGTTCTTACCCTGATCCAAATGAGGACAAGTGCCCAGGAAACTACACCAACCCACTGAAAGTTCAGACGGTCATAATCCTTGGAAAAGTTATTTTGTGGATTCTGCATTTCCTTCTTGAGCGCTACATTCAGCATCACCACAGCAAAGTAAGAAACCGAGGCTATCACATGATCTACCGATCAACAAGGCATCTTAAAAGACTTGCATTAATGATACACTCCACTGGTAAGTAAGTCCATTGTCTCTCTCAGCTTGTCTGTGGCTTCGTTGAGTAGCAAAAATTACAAAAAGAAAATCTGGAAACTTGATTTTATAATCAAATACAGCAGGTCCTTGAATAATGTCATTTCATGCAGCATCATTTTGTTAAAATGTTGATGGGATGCCATAGGAACTTAACACTTATTTATATCAATAGCCTATGGTCAGATTGGTTTCTTTATACGCTGTTTCACTTAATGTCACAGAAACCTATTCACAAAGTTAAGTCAGGACTTACTGTAGATTCTCATTTTTGTGGGACTGATATGTGTTGTGGCCACTACATTTTGGATCACCTAAATGTCGAAGCTTTTCTTATAATATATATAAGCTTCATTTTCCTTTGAAATCTGTGTTGGTTATTATAAGGGAGGGAATATCATTTTTCCTCTACCTTCCAGGTATTTGGCTGAGACCCCCACTGTAATAAAAGACAGATTAACAGGAGAAAAACAAACAAGTTTAATAACATGTATGCCTCCTGTATACAGATACCCAGGATACTGTAACACCCCAAAATGGCCCAAGCCACTACCTTAAATACCATCTCCAGCTAAAGACAAAAGAAGATGCTGGGGTGGGAGACAGTTATGGGTGGTTACCAGGAAAAGCAAAGTAAACAAGAATAAAGTTGTTAAGCAGATTTAAGTAGATGCCTTCTCCATTGATAAGAATTTCTTGCGATTTAGAGTCATCATTCCCTTCCTGGTACAGAGAAGGAGACAATCTTACAAATGGATAACTTCTCCATTTTCAGAGCTTTTTCCCGGTGTCTGCTGTTCCTTAAACATAATCAGCTTAAAGTAATCCTTATGCCAAAGAGTTATATTTTCAGGTGGCATTTTCTGCTCTCCTTCATTATGAACATGGTATCCATGTATTCCTGTGTCCATGTATTTCTATCTCCTTATTCATCTCAAGGAGATAGAAATGCTGCTGCTATTTGATACCTGGAAGATAAGAAGAGGGAATTGTTTTATTTTAAATGAAACTCGGTACTTTTCTTGCAGTAAGAGAGAAACTGTTATGTAATAGGATGCATTATCCAAAACGAAGAAAGAAAAGCAAATTATGAAGGCTAGATCAGCATTTAGAATGCATGAGTGCCTGCTTCTCTTTACTGTTGTGGACATTTCAAAGGCTTAATGGAATTAAGCTGAGTTTCTTTAGGTAATTAGTTTTGCCTTAATGTTATTATAAAGCTTCTGTCATTTTAAAATACCCTCTTTGATTGTGAGTCTGGAATAAATTTTTAAGCTGGATTAGAAATGAATACTTCTTGCAGAAAAACAGCATTACAGAATTTAATTTTTATTTTTATTCTGTGCTAGTGCATTTACTTAAGGGCAAACTGCAAACTGCAAGTTCATCCACTCGGTGACATTTTTAGTGAAGATGGAGGGCCATGCTAGCAGAGAAAGCAGCATTTTATAGAGGTGGCTGAACTGTGCTCATCCAGGAGGGGACGACATTTACTGCTTGCTCCCTAAGGAAGAACTTGATTTTATGTTCAACTTTTGATGTGTAGTGTTCTCTCCTGGCCAGAAGGTGTCACTATCACCTTTTGGTTGAGGGGGTGGGCAGAAAACTTTTTTTAAATGTTTTTATTGATTTTAGAGAGGGAGAGAAAGAGAGAGAGATATCCGTCTGTTGCCTCTTGAAGGCACCCCAACAGGGGACTGAACCCAAAACCCGGGCATGTACCCTACTGGGAATCAAACCTGCCACTTCTGATTGCATGGGACTATGCTCAACCAATTGACCCACACCGGCCTGGGCAAAAATCTATTTTTTAATTACTGAAAGACCTTATATGCTCTATAACCAAAATAATGTTCCATCATAAGTGATTTTCTGGAAATAGTCATTTTGAGTCCACCAAAATGACTTTCAAATTGTTAAAAATGTGACCCTTAATCATAATCTCTTTCTAAATAATTGGACCCTTAGTTTAATCGCAGATGGCATCACTTGTATGTTGCTCATATAAGGATCCAGAATATCAAAGAGATTGGGGCAGGTATTCACCTTGTTTCTATTTTTCTTTAAGTATCTTTTTCTTATTTGAAGAAAAAGAGGTAAGTCATAGAAGATACAGAAGCTCCAGCTAATCAGAAGAGTATAACCATTTTTAAAATCAGATGTGATAGTATTGCTGGATATATTTTTTTAAATCTTTACTGTTGAAAGTATTACATATGTCCCCTATTTTCCCCTATTGAGCCCACCCTCCACCCCCCAACCCCAGACCTTCATCACCCTATTATCTTATCCATGGTTTATGCATATATGCATACAATTTCTTTGGTTGATCTCTTACCACCCACCCATCTGCCCCTGAGTATTGCTGGATATTGATTAGCTTCATCCTGATACTTTTTGTTATTCTCTAGAGAGGAAAGTGCATTTATTTTATGGAAATGGGAGAAGGAGCTTTTCTTCCAAATAAGTTGAAAATATTTATCTAATTCATCTGTCCTCGTTCCTTAGATCCAAATACATTTTAATGTTCAGCCTGTGTGGCTCAATGGTCGAGCATCAGCCCATGAACCAAGAGGTCACTGGTTTGATTCCTGATCAGGCCACATGCCTGGGTTGCTGGTTTGATCCCCAGTAGTGGGTATGCAGGAGGAGCTGGTCAATGTTTCTCTCTCATCAATGTTTCTATCTCTCTATCCCTCTCACTTTCTCTTTCTAAAAATAAATAAAAACATTTTAAAATACATTTTAAACTCAGGGTTTGTATGACAAGTATTATTTCCCCAAATTTAAATAGGAGGAGTCCAGGGTCAGAGTAAATTAATGGCTTTAGTTCATTAAAAGAACTAATAGAGCCTAGCTGGGTGGATCAGGGATTGAGTGTCAACCTATGAACCAGGAGGTCACAGTTGAATTCCTGGTCAGGGCACATGCCTGGGTTGCATGCTCTATTTTCCATGAAGGGCATGCATCAGGCAGCCAATCAATGATTCTCTCTCATCACTGATGTTTCTATCTCTCTCCTTCTCCCTTCCTCTCTGAAATCCATAAAAATTTATTTTAAAAAAACTAATACAAAAGAAATAAATCAAAATAAATTTTTAAAAATGAAAAAAAGACAGCCAGGCCATCGTGGCTCAGTGGTTGAGCATTGACCTATGAACTAGAACAGTGATGGCGAACCTTTTGAGCTCGGCGTGTCAGCATTTTGAAAAACCCTAACTCAACTCTGGTGCTGTGTCACATATAGAAATTTTTTGATATTTGCAACCATAGTAAAACAAAGACTTATATTTTTGATATTTATTTTATATATTTAAATGCCATTTAACAAAGAAAAATCAACCAAAAAAATGAGTTCACATGTCACCTCTGACACGCGTGTCATAGGTTCGCCATCACTGAACTAGAAGGTCACAGTTCGATTTCCAGGTTTCCGGCTTGATCCCCAGTGTGGGGCGTGCAGGAGGCAGCTGCTCAACCATTTTCTTTCATCATTGATGTTTCTATCCTTCTCTCCCTCTCCCTTCCTCTCTAAAATCAATAATAATAAAAATATTTTTAAAAAATGAAACAAAACAATATCACTGTGAGAAAGATAGTTATCCCCATTTTTCAGATGGGAAAGCAGTATGTCTGGGTTTCCATCCAAGTGTCTGGAGCATTGTAGTGCTGCTGAAGGCAGTGCAGGTCTGCCATGAGCGTAGGTGGTGACCAGAATGAATACTAGGTTCCTCAAATACCCATGAATCCGGAAGAACTGGGATAATGCACATTTCTAAAAACCACAATGCACAAAGGATGACCCAAAGGAATGTCATTGTTAATAATTCTATGAAGCAAAAAACCATTTCTTAGTTTTTAAGAAAGTTCCATTTCATATATTTGTATTAGGAGACATCATTAACTCTTTGATGTTTTGTTTTCCTTTATTCCTCCGTCAAAAGATGAGCAGATTTTTGGTTTTTATCCTCCAACTTCCTTCACTTCTCTGTTTAAATGGGGCCTGGGTGTGTGCATGGCCTGGGGTGTCACCTGGGCTCTGGCTGACACTGTGGTTATTTCCTCCTCCAGGCAGCACAGCTCTCCTCCTCACGCTGTGCATACAGCATTCCTTCCCAGAGCCCAGCAGGTTGTATCTTGACCTCATTCTGGCCATCCTGGCCCTGGAACTGATCTGTTCCCTGACGTGTCTGCTCATCTACACAGGTGAGAACTACAACTAGGCTGTTCTTACAAAGACCCGCTTGAAGCCCCGCTCATTTGAGAACAAGGAAGCTGTTCTCAAAGCTTTTCTATGTAGCTGAGAACCTGTTGAGCGTCCGTATCTCTCATTGCTGACATTCAGACTTCTCTCATTTCAAATCCACAGGAAGATACCAGTGAGCCTCGTTTCTAGTTGTGTCATCCACAAGTTTCTGTCAATTAAAGTGAAGCCTTTCCAGTATAAAACGAAAAATTCCCAAAAGACCACCCATGTTTGATTCCTCAAAGGCAGCTGACATGTAAATCTCGCATTTACAATAAAAAGTAACTAACGACAAATTAAGGACATAAATAATGCATGCAAAATTGCATTAAGGCCAACATTGCTTTGGGATAAATCATTTAAGAACCTTCTGTCTCTTCTCTTTTAAAGCTCTCAGTTGATTGATGACCTTGGTAGGTTTCTGTCTCACTCTATATGACATTGCCTTGAATGTCTGACAATGAAACACACACAGTAGAGCACTTCACTTAACCCTCCTGCATAATACCCCTGAAAAATGTTTGCCAGATATTTAAACCCTGTGCTAGTGCTCATTGAGTTATTTGTAAAAAATATTTTTAGTTCAAGCTGATATGCAGGGAGTTTTTCTGGGTGGGCTAGCGGTATCCAAGCCCCTACTCTACTAAAAGTGTAATCTTGACCACCTCCTTCAAGACAGGAGATGGAAAATTTAGGACACTGAAATATTACCTTGTAAAATAGCTTGTTGTTGTTGTTTTGTTCCTAAAGCTATCTTGTTCTGTGTTAAAGCTAATCATCTTAGTGTAACTTTTACTAGTATATACTTCATTAAAAAATACACACACTCTTACACACATCCTCACTCACTCACTCCCCTTCTCAGGATCCTAATTTGTTCTGGCTCTTCCCCTTCCCTCTCCCCCCAAAAAAAACACCTTCTTCTCCACTCTTTCGGGTTTCCTCCTCTCTGAACCTCCCCCCACCTGCACATCATTCCTACTGAGTAAGGGGCTGCTTTCCAGGGCTGTCCTAGCCCCTGTGCAAGCTCTGCTTTATGGTCCTTTTTATCCTGTTCTGGAATGTAGATTTATTTGTATTTTTCTCTGGGCTGGTAGCTCTTGTTATAGGGTAGTGTCCACAGTGGAGGCTTTGGAGCCCTGCTTCCCAGATTCGAGCCCTGGCCACTTGTCCAGCTTCCTTGGACTGCACTTTACTTGACTGTAGAAAATAAGGAGTAATAAAAGCACCCACCAAAGGGGGAGGTTCTGAGAACTGAATGAGTTCCAGTAAAATAGTTCCCCTGTGCCTTCTGTGCTCTTAGTCCACAAAAAAATAATCCCGGTTATTATTATCAATAATAGCAATGATCACTGTGTTCCCCGTGCTTAGTGCAGGCTTGGCACATGATAAACTGTCAAATGTTTGAGTACATAAAAAACAACAACGAACCTATTGATTCTCTTTGTGAAGCATTTTTATGATATGACCTTTTTTGAAAATAGCCAATTCATATAATTTGAATAAATGGAAATAGAAGTATTTTTTATAATTAGGTAACCTGACAATGACTTTATTATTTTAGTGAAGGTTCGAAAATTTAATAAAGCCAAACCACAGCCTGATATACTTGAAGAAGAAAAAGTCCATGCTTACCCTAGCAATATTACTTCAGAGACTGGATTCAGGTAAGCTTTGGGTGGGGACTAAAAGTTGCAAGAGAAATAATTTCCTCCCTCCCACCCCCCACCCCACCAAAATCTAGAAACCATTCTACTTGGAGATTATTACTGTGCATTTGTGCCTTTAGAATTAGGTTTGTGGGTGGTTTTTTGTTGTTGTTGTTATTGTTAATCCTCACCCAAGGATATTTTTTCATTTATTTTTAGGGAGAGTGGAAGGGAGGGAGGGAGAGGGAGAGGGAGAGAAACATCAATGTGAGAGAGACCCATAGATTGGTGGGCTGAAGCTCTCTCCACTGAGCAATATGGGCCAGAGCTAGAATTAGGTTTGATGCTACCTCCTTTCAGCTGTGGTGAAGCCCAGTCAAATGAAAGAATCTCATTTTGGGATATTGCCCTGGCTTACAATATCTACGAAAAGGTAACAAATGCAATATGCTGTATTTTCACCAGTTTTCAACTGGTTGGGACCCATTTGCAAAAAGACTAATGAGTATTGGTGAATATATGTAACCCGTTAATATTTTGATTCTTTGTAGGACTATTTCAAGTTTAGAAGAAATTATTGAAAAGCAAGGAGACATAATAGTATACCTGAAGAGACACAATGCACTGTTGAGTAAGCGGTTGTTGGCTTTCACTTCCTCGGACCTAGGCTCTCATTCAAATCGGATGTGAGAGTTCAAGGTCAAGACAGCAATTGCAGAGTGATCCAGGCTAATACAAGACTGACCACCTGACAAACTGTCATAGAAAATGGCAGCTTTTGCTGAGTGACATTTTACCACTCTTGTAGAGTACCTGAATTTGGTTCTCACCTGTGTGGCTATTTAATATGTAGAGCTTGTGGATTATGTGATGGTGATTTGTCAAGCCTTGATATCTCAATAATGTCTGTTTTACACATTTTGAAATTATTTAACTTCCTGCTTTATCCTAGGAGCAAAGGTAAAGCTTAAACATCTCCTGCGCCAACACTTCTTCCACATGACATGAGAATCCTATTGATAATTTGGCTACTTACAGAGCGAGGCTGGCATGCTAATGTATTTAAAACAGGGAGCTGGTCAAATAAGTTCTTCCCACTCTTAAACTGATGAGGGAAGACATTTCTTGTGTTAATGATTCCTCCAATGGAGCCTTCTCATATAGTTTATATGCTTGTGTAGTATTGGATGGCAGCTTGGCCCTTGTAGCATTTATAAAGAGGTTTCTCACTGTAGGATCAAATTCTCACTAGGTGATTTACTATGAAAACTCCTACAGTTTTCCATTCTCCAGAAATAAGATATGAAGATTACTTGGATCAGTGTTAGACTAACCATTGTTGTCTGTTACCTCTATAGCACCTTCTACTGGCAACACTTTAAACTTTCTCTTTATTTTTGCCCTCTTCAGGAAGTTGCCATGCATTTCAGTATTGACTATACTAGTATATCTTCACTGGATCAATAAGTTCAGTGATAGCAAAGGGGTCTTCTGTGGCTTTGTCTAAAAAGAAAGGACACCTCTTTTAGTCTTGGATCAGACTTAAAAATAAAATGCCCTATTAACTTCTATACTGATATTAAACTTATGTAATTCTCCAGATAAATTGAGGTATTTTGAGCCTGGCCGGCATGGTTCAATGGTTGAGCGTCCACCTGTGAACCAGGAGGTCACGGTTCAGTTCCAGGTCAGGGCACATGCCCAGGTTGTGGGCTCGATCCCAGTGTTGGGGGTGTAGGAGGCAACTGACCAATGATTTTCTCTCTCTCTCCCCTTTTCCCTTCTCTGAAATCAATAAAAATATTTTTAAAAAATAAATTGAATCATTTTAATGAATAAATGGCATTACTTCTGCAGTTTTCGTACGGACTGAGGGGTCCCAGGTTCGATTCCAGTCAAGGGCATGTACCTGGGTTGCGGGCACATCCCCAGTGGGGGATGTGCAGGAGGCGGCTGGTCGATGTTTCTCTCTCATCGATGTTTCTGACTCTCTGTCTCTCTCCCTTCCTCTCTGTATAAAATCAATAAAATATATTAAAAAAAATAAAATAAAAATAAAGTGAATCATTTTAATGAATAAATGGCATTACTTCTGCAGTTTTCCTACTGTGCTCTTTATCAGTTTGCCCTTGGGGCCTTAACATGCTGCCTTAGGAAGACTTTTGGTTGAAAGCTTAACACGAAGGGGAGGGGATATCTGTGATAATGTCTGCTAATTTTTATTTACACTTAATTTTGGGAGGGTATTTAGTGGAATAATCAATATTTGGTTTGAAAATACTTAACCAAGACACAAGTATCTGACAGGGGATATTGTCATGATGTCAAACATGAGGGCAAATACCTGTTTCTTTTAAATGTGGCCATTATGGGGGCATTCTAAGAGTTCTATTCAGCTAAAAGTGATGGTGTCACCTGCAGGCCATACCATTGAATCCCCAAAATGACAAGATCCATAAACTAAAAGGCCAAATTGTATTGTGAAAATCCTGGGTGTCTCCAAGTTTTCTGTCCCCCGTACCCACACGCCCCCCCCCACTCTTTTTAAATATATTTTTATTGATTTCAGAGAGAAAGGGAGAGGGAGATAGAAACATCATTGATCGTCTGCCTCCTGCCCGCCCCCTTCTGGGGTTGAGCCTGCAACCCGGGCATGTGCCTTTAACCAGAATTGGACCTGGGAGCCTTCAGTCGGCAGGCCGAAGCTCTGTCCACTGAGCCAAACCAGCTAGGACTTATCCTTCCTTTTTAGTAAGTATGTCTCAAACCATTGCCTTCTCTGAAAATCTGTCTCTGTTCTGAAAGAGTCTGTAAACTTTGCTGCCAGCTGATTTCTTTTTCAAAAGGAAAACACTGATGGTAGATGGATTCTTATTTATTTTTAAATTCCATTTGGATCTAGTCTGTTTCTAAGGTTTATGGGATGAACTTTGGTTTACAGAGAAAACGTAGCTAACATTAGGATGCTCAGGTTCCAATGTGTCAGCTGGGTGACCAGCAGCACTCTTTTTAAACACAATAATGAACATTGCAAACTATAAAATAATGAAACTAAACACCAGATCTAGCAAAACAGAAAAACCACAAAAGCAATTTAAATGTTAAGCATGCTATTCAGGAGGCAAATACTGTGCATCTAAAAAAACTACTAAGACAGACCCTGGTTTGTAGCTTACAGAGGACTAGGATTTCTGCCCTTTAGGATCAGTGAAATAAGGCAGGGAGCCCAAAGGTACCATAGGAGTCCAGGTCAGAGAATACCCTGGAGGGGAAGGGGGATTTAGGAACCCCAGGCCAATTCAAGAGTAAAGAAGCGAAGTAAACAGCTACAGAAGATCCCAAGCACTGGGTAGAGCTTGAACCAAGAGCGCAGTGGGACCTGGACAATCCTCAGATCTTGTCCAGTGTTGTTGAAGCAAAATGAAACTCTCTTCCTGACTTACGTGTTTAACAGGACCACCATTTCTTCCTTTCACCTTCCATTGAAGGGAGATTAGATTTACTCTCATATTAATATGATACCCACTATTGTATTAATTCACACACACCTTCCATTTAAAAAAAAATTATTAAACTGGTCCAGTCTCTTAGAAAGTTTTCATTCAGTCTGTTCCTATAGAGATCCTAAGAGGTTTTGAGTCAGGTCCTACATAGAAGTAAGGCCTAAGAGGTCGATTAAGTGTCAGTGAAAGTATAGATGTGTGATTTGTCAGTCATGTTATAAAATGAGATCTCCCCCATCTCATAGTCCAGGAAAATGCCGATGCCTCTGGGCTTCACTTCAGACAAGAGAGGGATGGTGCCAGCTCCCGGGGCATCATAGCTATTCCCCTGCCGCCTAATCCGCCAGCCTCCCCGACAGGCCGACGGGCTCCTCCACCTGGTGGACAGAGAATCTTTGCAAACCCCGATCTCCCATGTGGGTTTGTCTCCCACGTCTACCTCCCAGAAATGCCTGCCGGAATGAAAGTATGGAAACCCCAGGACAACTGTGTTGACTGTAAATCTTTTTGGAAAATCAGGAACGTCTTGCATTCTCTTTGTATATCGCACACATTTTTTATCCTCAGAGACAGTCAGGTTAGGGTGTGCTGTTTCAGGGTCTAGAATGATATCTACTCTAAATGTCTTTGTAATTTTCTGCAAAGCAGAATACTGGAAAGGAAAACTGCAGCCTTCCCTCCGTAACTGGACTGAAAACATTGATGGGCTGAACCCCTCAGAGTGCTTGTAGAAACTTGTGATTTGTAACAGCAATTCCACATCCGTCAGCACCGTGCACTCTACTACCTGACTTAGCAGGCCTTTGAGTGTGGAATTGTACTTTGAAAATTCGGTTATATTAGCGCTGAGTTTCTTTTCAATCGCCTTTTCTTCATCAGCGAATCTTGAAAGAACTGCTTCTTGATCACGTTCTAAAAACTGCCTCAGGTGCTCAAATTCAGAGAGTAATTCCAGCCTTTGGGTTTCCACCTTCTCTCTCAGTTCTAAGGCTTTTTTGCTTTGAATGCTTATTGATTTCTGAGCGTCTGCCACCTGCTTCTTCAGGGGCTCAATGTAACTGCCGAGCCTTTGCCTGTGATGAGAGGCAGCCTCTTCCATGGGCCTCACCCACTGGGTGGCCCTGGTGGTCAGGGGGCTGAGTGCACAGGGGACACAACAGCTCTCGGTCCTCCTCACAGAAGAGGGTCAGGACCTTGTTGTGCTTCTCACACAAGCGCTTCTCTTCCTGCTGCTTCTTCTTGCCCCTGGTGATCTGGAGGAGCTTGGCCATGTCAACCATCCTTCCCAGCTGGGTGTTGCTCCTCAAGCACCTCTCTTTGCATGGGTGACGGCACACAGGGCAAGGGAACCTGTCCTGCAGATCAGCCCAGGACTGCTGGGTGCAGGAGCGACAGAAGTTGTGCCCACATTCGATGGTGACAGGGTCTCGCAGGCCATCCAGGCAGATGGGACAGTTGATTTCTGCCAGGAGTCCTGCCAGAGCTGCGTCAACCGCCATTGGGCCCTGAAAGAAGGATGGGACTGAGGTGGGTTTCTTCAGGAAGCTGTGCTCTGGGAGATCTCTCCACCGAGAAGCAGATGCACCCTCAGATCTCACTGGCCTTGCTGTCCTGAATGACTCATTCCTATGAGACCAGTGGCCGCTCGTGTCTAGAGGAGCTCCGTTCACCACCTCCAGCTGATTGCAGACGTTGAGACCAAGTTCAGAAATTCTTGGTCAGAAAGCAGACATGGTTCTAAAGTGCCTGTGCATTCCTGGAGATGAGAAAAGATTGTTGCATGTAAAAAAGGCTACCATTGTGGTCCTGCTCCCTGCCACATTTGAAGCAACCACTGATTTGTGTCTCTATCAGCACAACCCACCTAAACCAAGTCACCCACAATGGTGCTGCATGGGACTGTGGCAAGTGTATGATTTGGGACTAGATCACCTATACCTGGGTCAGTTTCCATCCTTAGGGACCTATCATCTGGGAAACCTGGGGATAGCTACTAACATTCTTATCTCTAAGAGAGTCTGGGAAAGAAGAATAAAATTCCCAACTTCAATCATTTTAATCTTGAGAAAAACCTAAGAAAAGGAGCTGGCACTGTTTGGCTTAAACAGTTTATTTTTTATAGTGCTGAATTCATAATATATCATGTTTACATGTTTTTCCTTTAGCTTCTCAGCTGCAGGATACATCCAGCTCTGTACAGAAAAGTAGATGGGATTTCGACGAGGTTAGATTTCCTTGAGGACCCTCCAACTCAAAAAACTGATTTTCATGTCATGCTCAGAAAGAATAAAATTGAAGATTAGATTATCAATGTAAATTGAAACAAACACACATTCAAACAACTGTTCTTTTAAGTTATTGTCAATGGTGAGCTACCCACTAGTGACAAGGATTTGTGGGGACAAGATCCTAAGGAGAAGAAATGAATATAAAATAATCAATTACAAGAATATGGTAGAACGTTTTCATTCTCTTTAACTGAGGAAGCCATCTGGTATGACTGAAAATCAGAAAATTGGTATTAGTTTGTCAAACCATCTAAATAGCTCCTATAGCCCTAGCTGGTTTTGCTCAGTGGGTAGAGCGTCAGCCTGCAGACTGAAGGGTCACAGGTTCGATTCCAGTCAAGGGCACATGACCAGGTTGTGGGCTTGATCCCCAGTGTGGGGTGTACAGGAGGCAGCTGATCAATGATTCTCTCTCATCATTGATGTTTTTGTCTCTCTCTCCCTCTTCCTTCCTCTCTGAAATCAATAAAAACACATTTTTTTTTAAAAAAGACTCAAAAACAGTGTGCTCTGTTCCATGGAGATCGCTACCAGTTGTCTTAGGCCTAAATTCCAGGTGATTGTGGGGCCTGGCTCTGCCACTGGGGCTTGCATCTTCCAATTGGCCTGTATTTGTTGTAAGGGCCCAAAGAAAAGAAGGGGAACAAGTATTTTGATGCAGTAGATTTGACCAACAGACAAAGGCGAGTGCAAGGATATGTCTAATGTACACACAGAGACACCAGCTCTGAGTCCGCCTGGGCAAAGGGAGCTCAGGGTCTGTTTGCAGAGCCTTCTGGTGGTTTCTGTTTCCTTACTGAGGCTGTCCTCCCTGGGAAGGCTGGAGCCCATGCTCAGCTCCAGCTCAGTGGGTCTTTTCCAGGCCCCTCCCCCAATGGCCCCACCCGTGAACGCCCCACCCCCATGGGGGTGGGGCCAGCCAGCCAACCTCCCTAGGTCCCTTCCCTCAGCAGGCTCAGCCCCATAGGGCAGGCTGGCCAGACCCCACCCATGCACGAATTCATACACAGGCCTCTAATATATCCTATCTAATAATAGACAAACATGGTAATTAACCATACCTCCAATACGCTTCCCATTGGCTAATCAGGGTGATATGCAAATTAACTGCCAACCAAGATGGCGGCCGGTAGCCACGCAGCTGAAGCGAACATGAGGCTTGGTTGCCCTGGCAATGGAGGAAGCCAAGGTTACCCGCCTGCTGCCCCCGGCTCTGAGCTGGAAAGCAACAGCTCTGAAATGCAACTATGTTTCAATTATAGAAGCGAAACAAACCCCAGAGACCTGTCACCTTCCTTCCCTTTTCTAGCAGGTTCAGCTCCCTCTGATTCCAGCACCTGTATAAGCAAATCCTCTTAGGTTTGTCTCCAGTGCTGAGGCCTGCTCCCACTGCATTGTCACTTCTTTCTCATCCCAGCTTCCCCTGACTCCATGATGGCTCACTTCCCCTAACACAGGGTCAGAACAGTAAGGACAGAAACATGAATTCTCCTTTCACTGACTGCTGCAAACTCATGCAGATTTGAGAGATCTGCATTCCCCACAGATCTGAGAAAAAAGTGCCTGCAAGCAAGCAGATGGTTAGATTAAGGAAGATCAAAGGATTGAAGTATGAGGTATATCAGGGCCTCAAGGCTCTCATCTGTCCACTCCCCATCTATACACAAACCGGCCCTCAGTGAGCCATCCTAGAAGGGATTCCACAGGCAGCTTCAGACTAGCACCTCTTGGCGCTTTGTCACACACAGTTATTGGTCACCCTTAGGTCAGGTTGGGATCATGGTATTTTTAGCAAGCATTTGGATGACTTTAGAACAAGGCTCACCCAAACCATAATGAAACATGTTATACATGGACACAGGCAATATGGTAGTGAAGACCTGGGAGGTGGGGGGGAGAGGGGGGCTGGAGAGAGGGGGAGTAAAGGGAGGGAAAATGGGAGATATCTGTAATACTATCAACAATAAAAATATATTTAAAAATAACATAAAATAAAGGCTGGGCATTTAAGGGAGGTCTTAGGGGTGGATCAACAGAAAAAAACAAATGTGTTATAAAAAATAACCAAAAAAAGGACAAATGTAATACTTTCAACAATAAAGATTAAGAAAAAAATAAAGTATATGAAACAGCAAAACAAACAAACAAATTTGAATAAAAGTTAGGATTCCCTTGGGAAGTGGGATCAAGGCCTACAGGAGCCTGGGCTCAGGAAACCAAGGCTCCTACCTCCTGTACCCACATGATCCTGTCCCTGGGCTCACCTGGGACCCATTCCTAGGAGGTGGGTCTCTGAGGACACTCGCCATCACCTTCTCACACACAGATATTCCCATTTCCAACCCCTCACGAGTTAGATCTGGGTATCCATATTTTTAGCAAGCATTTTGGTGACCTAGTATAAGGCTCCGAAAGGGTCAAAGAAATCATAATAAACCTCATGTGTGTTTCTTTGTGTTTGGTTGTTGTTGTTGTTGTTTTTATTGATTTCAGAGAGGGAAAGATAGAAACATAAACGATGAGGGAGAATCATTGATCAGCTGCCTCCTGCACGCCCCCCACTGAGGATAGAGCCCACAACTGGGGCATGTGCCTTGACCAGGAATTGAACCGTGACCCCTGGTTTATAGGTGAATGCTCAACTACTGAGCTACACCAACCATCCTCCTAGTTCAGTTGTTTATAGAGCATCCTGATAGTCAGTGTATATACAAGAATCAACCAATGAATGCATAAATAAGTGTAACAACAAATCAATCTCTTTCCCTTCCTCTCTCTCTCTCAAGTCAATTTATAAAATTAATTAATGAATAAAGTCAAACCCCACAGGGAATATAGTAAATAATGGTATAACCACGTATGGTGTTGGGGGTACTATACTTATGGGGGAGTCACTTCATAAGGTATATATAAATGTCTAACCACTACCCTGTACACGTGAAACTAATATAATGTCAACTGAAATTGAAAAATATAAATAAATAAATTAAACCAAATTCGAGTTTGGATTCCCTTTCAAGGTGCAATGTCTCAGCCTGTCTTGGCTGGGTGCTCAGGAAGCCCCAGCCCAGGTCTTACCTCCCACAGCCACGTGGTTCCACCTCCGGACTCATCCGAGCAGCCGGTCCTGGGACAGTCTGTAACTCTGGTCGCTGAGACCTTTCTCCCAGAAGGGCCCTTGAAGCCAGTCTGTCACCAGATGGTGTGGTCTGTGATGAGAGCTTGACCTGAATTTATATAAGAGAGTGGGACTATTAGGCCCTCCACCATGCCCAGCAGAGAAGGGTGGCTCCTCCTCTGCAGAGGAAGGGGTGGACCAGGGTGGAGGTGAGAGGAAGTTCAGAGATGCTGGTTGGAGGGCAGAGGGATCTCCTGTGATTCAGTCAGGCCAGATAAAGTCATAGGCATGATCTCATTTGCACATTTTTAATCCTCCCAAAGACATTTAATCCCATCTTTCTTGCTGAGGAAACTGAAATCTGAAAGGCTGAGGCCTGTTGCTTTTCTCACCCAGGAATGTGTAACTCTGGGCCCCCATGTGACCCCCTCTTCAGGATGTGCCATCTCAACGCCTACAGTACAAGGAACGGGAGGCTTTACCCTTCAGCTTCAGAGGTCTGGGTCCAGCCCATCCCTTGCTCTCTGCATCCTCACAATAAGCTGTGACCTGTTCCCGTGGTGGCACAATCCCCCTCCCCAGATACGGGCAGTTTACAGACACAACTCCGAACCTGCCTGCCACACAGGAGGAGAAACTGTGAAGTCCCAGCCAAGCAGACAGCTGTGCAGCTGCTAATGGTTCCATTCCTTTGTTTTCATTTCGTTTTCCTTGAACAGGGTTGTCTTTGACTTGTGATTTTTTTAAATGTATTTTTATTGATTTCAGAGAGGACGGGAGAAACAGACAGAAACATCAATGATGAGAGAGAATCATCCATTGGCTGCCTCCTGCATGCCCCCCACTGGGAACAGAGCCTGAAACCCAGGCATGTGCCCTGACCAGCAATCGAACCATGATCTCCTGGTTCATAGGTCTATGCTCAACCACTGAGCCATGCCAGCCGGGCTTGACATGTAATTTGAAAAGAGCTCCTTCTCTTTTCCTAGCAAACTCTTAAATTGTTGCAACTCAGAATGTACTAGTAATTCTCCCATTTGCTTCTCCACCTTTGAAAGCAATTCAAATGATTCTGAGACTTGTATTTCTAACCCCTTTGCAGCATCTTCAACCTGCTCCCTCAGGGGCTCAGTGTGGCCTTTGAGCGACCTCCTGTGACTAACTGCACTTGCTCAGGGGCTGTGCCTGGTGGTGGGAGGAGGAGACCCTGCACTGGGACACACAGGTCCAGGTCCTTCTCACAGGACAGGGCCACGACCTCATGGTGCTCCTCACACAG